TGGGGGCGGTCGGGCGAGACCCGGCGGCGGGGGGGGGGGGGGCCATTGGAGGTTTTCTCCCAAATTTGCCCTAAACCAGGACATCCAGAATTATCTGCCTTGTACTATCTGATGTCATGTGTACTCCTTTTGGTCTGATACTGTTGTACAAGCAAGGGAGAAAAGAGAGAGATCGTTATTCACAGCACAGAAAAAAACCCTCTTTTTAATTTTTTAAGTAACACTATTCTCTTAATGTACCACATTTACTTTGAGGCAAGAAACAGCCTGCTTCCAAAGCTGCTGCCCTCTTTTGGGTAAGTTGAACTACTGAGATCTTCTGGAGGTATTGCCCATACAATACTCCATTCAGAATCACTACGCTCTGTTCAATTGCTTCTACATTTAATTTGGCACTTTCCTAAAATGCTGTAGTTGACAGACAACCACAGCATTTGGCTCTTCAATTTGATATTTGCTTTTTAAACTGCAAACAGTAACTGTCATTCAGAAAATGTATAGGTATTTTCAAATTAAAATTCGAACCCTGACCTACAAACAAGGCAAATTAAGGGCAATAAAAAGCCAGGAAAAATCTCTCATTAAATAGATTAAATTTATCTAAGTAGTTTTCTTAAGCAATAGAGATTTGTCTTCTTCCCTGCGAATGGTTCTTCTGTTGGTGAGGGGAAAAGGAAATGAAAGCTTCAAAAGCTTTTTCAAAAGGCTGTCTTAGATTTTGAAAATATATGTAGTCTAAAAATTATTGACACACTGGAGTTATTAGATTTGAAAGATCATTAAAATATTACGCTCAAAATCAGAGATTTTTTAAGGGTTGTTCCCTTTGTCATACAATTATTTTTCTGTTTTTCTTCATGCAGGAAAGTGAAAATTTTCATTTTACTTATTAGCATTGTAATTGCAGATACATACTGTTATACAGATTTTCAAAAAAAATTAGGCAGATTATTATAATCAGTATTGATTAGGGAAACTGTATGGAGTTTCACTGTTAGAAGAACATCTCTATAGCAACTCACCATAATTTTCTACTAAAAAAAATAGTATTCCAATGGGTCTTAGTCATGTACATTTAGTTACCTCAAAGTGATCAACTACTTATTTTTATGCTACCTATATTTGCTCTATGCTTTATCCTCCCTCTTCCGTCTGCTCCTCACTCCTTTGTTGTTCATCTCTCTAAACGTAATCACCACAGTACTGGTTGAAACTTCCTTGCATTGCTTAGCTTCCACAACTTTTTGCATACTCTCCAATATTCTCCTTTACTCTATGAGCAACCTGCAACTAATGCCATTGTTATCATGCAGTCCTGCTGGTACATGTTGGCTACAACAGCTTTCCACAACTTGCCCTCTCTGTAAAAGCATATTTTAAGGGAAGCAGTGTTACTGTTTCCTTCTCCTTGCCAGACTACTCAAGAGATAACCTGATTGTCTTTATTTGTAGGAATGGCTGAAACAAGGGAGAGAATGAAGCAACATAATATGTCAAATACTCCAAGTCTGTCAGGAATGCTTCTTGCTTGAAAGTTTCTTAGGTACTCCCCTACCAAATAAACATGAAAACTGCTGAGCACAATATGACATGGATGGGGAAAAAAAAAAGAACAATCAGGTTTTGTACAACAGTTTTACGGATTCCAGGTTGCTGAGAATTTTGGAAAAAATATTACATCATTCACTGTTCAAAACAATTTAAGTTACTTCAAATAAACACATAATATTAAGTTTACATTTGCCACTATAATTGCATTTTCCTTAGGTCATTTGCATTTCTTTTGATTTCATTGCAATGACTGCAGAATGATAGACTACGAACCATTACATAATGAAATTAATAATAAACTAGTATACTTTTCTTTTTAGAATATCACCATTATCTTAAATAACTTGATAAATTAAGGCACAAATCTGAACTGTGGCATTAAAAACACATAAAAATTTAAACTAACTTATTGCTATCCCAGTCTTATAGCTGCAGTTAATATATTTCTTTCAACTGTAAGATTCTTAATAGCAGTAACAATCTTAGCATCTCTATTTCACTAAATAATTTTGTGCATATTTTGAGATGTCTTGTTTGTCCTTATCCATTACTCAATAATTTCATTTCTAGTTATCAGAGAATGAAATGACTCACTGCCTAGCATCAATAAGTAAATCATAATCTTATAAAAACACTAATACTTAGGCTTTTGGGAATGGTTCTCCAACACCTTTTTCAAAAACAAAGCATTGTGTTATACCTTTAAATTCAGGCTGACATACAACTGGGGAAGTGCAGGCCAAGTGAGAATGGACAAGTAAATGCCCTGCCTAGACCATGAATACAAATTAGGTTGTTAATGTAAAAGATACGAAGTACCATATATTCACTATTACGTATGCTATTAACTTTAAAATAACCATAGCAGGTAAGGCTTTTAGCACTGAATGTAGATTTTTGTGACATGTCAAAATTAAAGAATGGGGATAGGCAAAAATTAGAAAGTTATAATTAAGGCCAAATAGGAGGATGTGAGAATTCAAACAGCAGTCAAGGTCAGACAGCCCTCTTTGTAATGCTATGACTCCTTCCAGTGTGGGAAGACCAAGTCAAACATAAAAAGTATAGCAGCAAAAGGCATAATCATTTCATTCTAGAACAAAAACCATAGCCTGCACTTAGCAAGGTACCAGTTCTACTTAGTTGTTGCTTGCTTGCTTGGGATAATTATTTGGTTTTGTCCAAATCTAATTTAGGTCTGAAAACACATACAAAGATTTGCATAGTTTAGCTCTGGAACCAGTGTAAAGGCTCAGAAAATTACTTGGTTACATATTCACTAGACAAGCAGTTCTAATTTATTCATAATTATTCATAATTCATAATAGAAGAAGTAACTTAAAAATCAATTATTTGAATTAAAGATTAGCATTCATTCCAATCCAATGTTTCATCAACTGGTATGCAATAGCTCGACTTGGTGGTACGAAGAAAGAATGCTGGTTTCCTTTAATGAGAACTTCCACAATCTGCAATAGAAACAGATTTTTATCTTTAGAAGACAGCTTTATAAACTACATAGAATCTAACATTGTATTAACGCAGAAATTAACTTCCTGTAATGATCCATCAGTCTACCATTGCTGTATCTATTAAAGAGATACTAAGAGATTCCCCAAGGTAGATACAGAAAAAGTCCCACGTTGTGCAAATTATGACATTTTTGAGCTTAATGTGCCCCAAAGTATGCCTTCTTCCTAACAGAACTGTGGAGACTGCTAGTATACTGTTTAAGGTTTTTGTGAAGCCTTTTTACAGCAAGGACCACTAGATGGTGCTCTACACTGTGACAAAAATATTTTTAATTTTTATATGTAGTGCCAAAGGAGATGTGTTTTCGTTGTCTTCTGAAGCAGTTGCAAGTATTATGAGAATACACTTTGAGTACATTTTTGAAGTATATTTATTTCTGGCTGTACACCAATCTGTGACTAGTTGTATTCAGAACTGATATTCATTTAAAATAATGTTCCCAGTGTTAACAGAAACACACTGAGATTGCAGGTGACTAACTTTGCCTTCAAGGTGATGTACAGTCAAAACACTTGGAACTGCTAGGCAGATGTCCAGTGTTATTAAAAGCTTAACTCCTAAGTTGCCTATGGGAAAACCTGTGAAGCAATCTTTTCTTCTACTCATGAATTGACATACTTCTGTGACAGTCTTTTCTGCCTCTCTTTTATTTAACTATATTTTAACTACTGATGGAAGCTAAGTGCAGGATTTCTTATTAAGGCACAGTAAGCTGCATTTAATATCAGAATATTAAAATAGTACTGCATGAAAATAGATGTTCAATCTAATGAATTCCCAGTGTCCTTACTTTAACTTCCACCCTCACACTGGTAGCATGCTTGTTTGGAGAAACTGTGATGAATGCTGCTATTAAATACTACTTCTGCATGAAAAGCAGAGGCTTGCTAAGGAAATGGATTAAAATAACTTGGCTCTCTCACAGAAGGGAAAGGTGAAGAGCAAACTGGCAAAAATGTTATAAAATGAACTTGCAAGTAACTCAGATATTACTGAGTAATGTCTGAAGTGTCATGCCAAAATAATTTCCATATTCTTTCACATAATTTGACAAAAAACTAGGTTTCTGACCACCTGTCACATAAGCCAGCAAATTAGCAATGTGTTTGTACCCCCAAAATAGAATAGCTGTCTTTCTCTAATATGGAATTAACTACAACCATAATATAATGCAACTGTAGTATGATAAAACCAAGAGTACACGTGCTCATTTGACTTTCTGAAAAAGCAAGTCTATTGTATGCCAGAACCAATATAGGCACAGACTAATCAATAGAAGAAGAAAATAAAACTGAACTTTACCTGTTCTCTAGTGAACCAGCGGGCATCCTCTATTTCATTCTTGTCAACTTCAATTTCTGTAGACACTGCAACAGCTAAGCAGCCAATCATTAGGGAGGAGGGCATTGGCCATGGCTGACAAGAGACGTACTGAACATGGGAAACTTTGACTCCAGTCTCCTCCTCTACTTCTCTTCTAACAGCATCTCCTATGGTTTCGCCTAATCAAAAAGGGCAAAGAACAAGCAGCTCATTAAAATACTCCAAACATCACATGCTGAACTTTGAACTGACTCAAAAGATTTGAAACTGCCCAAGGCAATTATCTATAAAGATCTAGTTCATGGAACAGGGCAAAGACCTCAGCACATGACACACAAGTCTAATAAGGTAAAACAGCCACCAAAGCAAAATGGAACTTTGAAAAGAAAGTGTAGTAATTTCTCCATAATAGTATTTATTTCCTGAATTGAAAACTCACCATACACACAAACCATTATCACTATACCTAAAATGTCAAAAATTAGGTAGAAAATGCATTATTCCTATAATTATTGAAACATTGATCTGTTCATTGTAGCTAGCACTAGAAATTAACTAGTGTTAATTTCTGGATTTTCAGTATGATTGCAACAGCATGTACTACAACTTGAAAAATCAGTATTTAGAATTACAATAGTAAGAAAACAGAGATTTAGAATACTTGCTCACATTTCTCTGTTGTCCTTTGCCTGACTCATTCTTCATTGTCTTAACACACGCAGACAATACTAAATTGAAACTGCAATGGAAAGCTTTGCTTCCAGATCCACAAAAAACTGTGGATGTCTGTGTTTGGAATGCTGATGGTCACCAGCCTACATATGCACACATGCACTCCCTGATTAAAGGCTAATTAAAGGACAAGTATATAATCAGAAATAAATATCTTGACTTCTTTCGACTGATACCTGAATAAACTTGTTTATGCTGTCACTGTATGTCAACTTGCACTCATTTACTGAATGTATTTATTCACTGTGATTTCACTGGTGATAAAGATCTATTCCCAATGTAAGTTTTACAAGTTGTTCTGCAGGTACTTATAATTGTAACTAATTTCAACTATTATTGCTTGACATAGTTATTGAAATATCTGTTTATCTTTCTTTCAGAATTTTGTAATTTCTACTCATATTCCATAGAATTAATCAGACTGTAAACATAAGCATATGCTTAACTTCATGGTAATTTTAACTTACACTTTAAAACTTACTTTTCCTATGCTAAAATCCTTTGCTCAGTATCATCAGCCAATGTGACATGTTTTAAAATTATTTTTTTTCATTTAAATAGTGATTTGATGATGTGAAAACTATTTAATATTTTTATTTACTCAGGTTGTTTATTTTTCTATAAATCAGCAGCTGCAAAGTACAGAATAAGCGTATTTATTATAACAACTCCTTTCTCAGGAAGCAAAAAACTTCAATTTGAGACAACACAAAAGATATTTCTCTGTACTTGTAAAGGTATAATACTGTTACCAAGAAAATACATTTGATAAAGAAAAATTAAATTACTCACCAGGTTCTACAAATCCAGCAAGGCAGGAAAACATTCCTGGGGGAAACCTCTTCTGCCTACCTAAAAGACAGTGGTTCCCATCTGGATGGATGACTTGCATTATCACAACTGGATCTGCAAAGAACATGAAGCAAATGTATTTCAACATTTGAGGGACTTAAATGCAGTAAAAACTTTCAGTCTATTCCATGCCAATGCATATAAAGAGAAAAATTACACTGAAATCATAATTGTGTGCATGCTCAGAGTAAACTGTATTTCACTCACGTTGATTATTTCATTTCACTTTGGGATTTCTCTCCATGCAAGATACTTCTTTATTTGGTTGTGCAACATACAAGTCTAGTAGAAGCAGTTTACTAACCAAGGTTTGAAATGCAGGACAGAAATTATCTGTAACCAAAGCACACAATCTACTAAGATTATCAGCAGTACTGACCTAGCTTTGCATCCAGGATATACCAACAGTTTCTGCAGCAAACTCATTTAGCACGTTCTCTTCACCACAGAGGTCTGAAGAATGTATTTTTGACTAAACACCAAATAAGGAGACACTTTGCTGACAATGTAAATACTGACTAAATACTAACTATTTTCCACCTTTGACTTTGTTTACTCTTTGCTATCAGTTTCTCATATGATGTTGCACTTTGACAAATTTTCTCACGTCTAGTCATGGTATCTGTCTTTTTCTTTCTAACTTAGTATTTTTTCCTATTGATCTAAGCAACCTTATCAACTCATGATCTTTTCCCCTTTTTATTGCCATCTAGTTTTAAGTAAAAAAGTAAAATGTGACCCTTTGTGCTGCTGGTATCTCATTTAGACTGTTTGAATTTCTAACTGATATTACGTGTTGAAATAAGGTTTGCACTGTCACAGCAATTTTGTATCACTAATTAGTACAAGAAAGAGAAGCCTGAACTACTTAATCCTAAACAGAAAAGAGACACAAAAGCCTGTGGAGAAACAAGTATGGAAAACCTAGGACAAAAATAAGCAGCAGAAATAACTAGAAATAAATTGTTTTACATGCATATAATACATATATACTTCACTTTTCAGTGAGTATTCTCACCAACTCTTGGATATGATGTGTTGTGAACTCCTTGGAGACTGGGACAATCTTCTTTTAAGCAAGTTTTCTTGTAACCCCCTTCTTCAATCTTGGTTGCACTCCCACATGTTGGGCAGAATCGGTAGCGGCTGTGCCATGCTAGAACAGATCTTGCCTGGGCTATTACTCCTTTAAAACAATACATTGAAAACGCACAAGATCAAATACTAATTCATGTTAAGCTTTTAACAGCACAGAAAAATCAAGTAGTGAAGTTTAACACAAAAAAAGTCAAGAGTAGTTTGAATCATAATCATAGCTGAAAGAGAAGTTGAGCACTATGAGTTATGCAGATCTTCATCTTTGCAGCACAGCAAATGCAACAGAACATGGTATTAAAGAAAAAAAAGTTACAGGGCAATTTATACACATTCAGGAACAGATTAATCCAAATCAATATACTCTGCTTCTCACAAAAGTCACATTGTGTAGGCAAACTGCCAAAATTACATGTATCAAGTATTTTTCTTTTTTTTTTAAATTTTGTTAATGTCCTCACTAACACTAATTCACTTTGTCATTCTGACTTTTCAACACCTCCTTGTCAGATGAGTATCCAACACACTGTTATAAAGGACTTAGGTACTCATTTCTTGTAGTTAATAAGTTCGTAATTATTATTTTTAGTTAATAATTTCATTACTCACTCAAAACTCAGTAATGTTTTATGTTTATAATATTAATTCATGAATATTTAAATATTACTGTTTAAAGCCCATGATGATCAATAGGTTTTACAGTCTACTATTGTCATTGGAAAAACTAGTCCTTTGCAAATTCACATGTTCTTAACATACAAAATTCCTCACAAAGCCAATACCAGGCTTTTAAAATCAGAATATTTCTAAAGCCACTGAAAACACATAATTTCTTTGCACTGGTTTGTCTTTTCTTTGAATTATACCTCAGGGAATAACAAAGCATGTCCTTCTGATTATACATTTTGTACCTGCTGCACTTCATGCATCTTACCAGCTTCTTTTTCAGGTAACTGCAGTAATGCTGGCATTGGCGGATGAAGAAAGTAACAGTCCTCATGCTTCTGTTTAAATTTTTCAGCAGAAGCAGAACCTATGCTAAGAGCAAACCAAGCAACTAACCCATCTTCTTCTTGCAGAACTCTTCCACTGCAAACAGCCATCAGGTTCACATCATACTGAAGTTCAACTCCAAGAAAAACCAAGGTACATTCTTCGGTTTGGTTCATGCACTCTTCCACATCCTTGTGGTGCAGCCTGCAAAGCTTTACTTCTGGTTGCTGTGAGCTCTCTCTTCCCCCACCCAAAGTAACCAAGGGACTTAGATCTGAGAAGAGGATGTATACTGTAGCTGGATGGCTTTGTTTTTCGCTTAGCCACTTGGAATCTGTTCTTTTATTACTCCTTCTGTCCAGAAGCGTCATACCAAAATAATTTTCATATTCTTTCATATAATTTGATAAAAAACTAGGTTTCTGACCACCTTTCACATTAGCCAACAAATTAGCTATGTGTTTGTATCCCCAAAATTTAGCAATGTCCAGAGCTGTCTGCCTTGATTTATTAATGATGGATCGGTCACACCTAAAGAAACAGAAAAGAGCTGAGGTTACCAGAGTAAATATGTTTAGGAAGGGCCCAGATGTTGTATTATTCCTACCTCCAGCATATACATCTGACACTATTAAGGTACAAGAACTTCTACATACTCTGTCTACACTGGGATAATCTTTAGTCAAAATGTTTAGCATTGTGGTGACAAAATATAATTATACTTCTTTTTCTTTTGCTAAGGCTATCTTTCACATTTTTGTTGATCCTTTCCAGATTATCATTCACCAAAATTCATGAAGTAGTACAAAGACAATGAATTAATTAAAATTCTACACACTGTATCATCAAAAAAGGCTCAAAAACAGAGCTTTGAAAATCTGTTCCTCATAACCAGTAATCAAAATGGAAAAAAAAAAAAGAAAAATAAAAGAAAATAAAGCACCCTAACAAGCATTAATTTCTAGAAGCTACTAGAACCAGCAAAAACACATTTACAATAAAATATTTTATTGAAGTTAATTGGCTTGTTCAGCCTGGAGAAAAGAAGACTGAGAAGAGACCTCACTGGGATCTCCAACATCCTCATGAGGGAAAGCAAAGGTGTAGGTACTAATCTTTTCACTCTGGTGACCAGTGACAGGACATGAAGCCTGAGTTCAAGGAGTGTTTAGACAATGCTCTTGGGCATATGGGTACATGGTGGGATTCTTGGGATGTCCTGTACAGCTGCAGAAGTTGATTCTTGTGGGTCCCTGTTGTGAGGTGCCTCAGAGAGGCAAAGATTTAGTTTAGAGATAAGCATTGTTAAAGTGAGAGGCATGGCTGTAAGCCATGTGTGTGAATTTTTACCTCCTGTGTTGGGGGATGGGCTGTGTGAGCCCGATGAAGTTGTCCCACCCCAAACCCTTTGTGAGGGGTGGCCCAGGAGTTCTGATTGGGTTTGAATCCCTGGGGGGGTTTGTCCCTTGCTGTGTTCCTAGTGGTCCCTTACCCTGAACTCCACCCTAGTTCTGTCCCTCAAAACCCATCACCCTGCCTTTGTTCAGGGCTCTCTGTCTCTGAATGACATTTTGTTCCCACGCTGAATAAATGGTCTCACGAACATCTAGTTCTTGTCCCATGCTGGTTCTCAGAAACTATGGCTTCCCTGGACATGATCCTGCAGTTGTGCACTGTAACAGGTCCCTTCTAACTCAGGATATTTGATGATTTACCATAAAATTAAAATCAAGAACACAGCCTCTGCTTAGTGGCAGAAGCTGGTTCCTGTAGGGATCTTTTAGTCACCCAGATATCTGTGAAGTGAAACAGATAATGGAATGCTGCCTCATCATATACATTTAAATACTAAAACCAAAAAGAAACCCAAACCTTAAATAGGTTGAGCTTGATTGGAGGTCAAAATAACACAATTTAATTATTTGCCAATCTTAAATTGGTAAGTAAAACTGAAATGTCACTGTAAACTACAAATTATGTAATAAATACTGGACTCATCAGTTTTTAAAACCAGAAGATGACTGTAATATTAATGCTGCTGATACACATGTAACTGTATCACAGGCAAGAACATCTTGAGATTTTATATTAAACTCAGTTGTTTTTGAGGGAATCTGAGTACAGTTTAGAAAACTATTCAAAACACAAATTACAAGTTTTTGCTAAAGTTGCTGCTAAAGCAACTCATAACAGAAGACTCAAGGGAATGGCATGAAGCTCTCTCAGAGGAGGTTTAGGTTGGCTCTCAGGAAAATGTTCTTTACCCAGAGGGTGGCTAGTCACTGTAACAGGCTCCCCAGGACAGGGCTCACAGCACCAAGTCTGACAGAGTTCAAGAAGTATTTGGACAATGCTCTCAAGCACATGGTGTGATCCTTGGAGACAATGCTGTGCAGGACTATGAGTTGGACTTAATCCTTGTGGGTCCCTTTTAACTTAGGACATTCTATGATTCTACAGTTCTGTGATAAAAAAAAAATCTGCTGATTAGCCTTCTAGAATTATTCTCTGTAATGTTATTAAATACTATCTTCAGAGACATTAATGTTTATATAACCAGCAACTGTAATTGTCAAAGTAATTTTTCTAAGCATTAACTAAAAGGAGACCAATCAGGCCACTGCATCATCTCATGAACTATATTCAATTACCTAAGAGAACAACCATGAACAGGACATTTAAAAGCAAAATTCACTTTTTTTTAGTGAAAAACATAACTTAAAGAACTGTTATCCTATTTACCAACTGATAAATTCCCCAGGATCTCAAAAGATTCCTCAATACACAAAATCTGGCACTGAGATACTCCTCTATGTACTGGAACGTACTGACTATAGTAAAATCCAGTGGTTCATCTAATGCCCTACTCTGAGCCCCAGCAGAGGCTACAGGTCTTGGGTATGACTGAAAAAAAAAATCAAAAATGGGTGGGATGATTACTGGAGGCTGTGGAATGCTATGCTTGAAGTTACTCATTAACTACAAAATGAATTGTTTTTTTCTGTAATTAGGAGTTCAGAAAGGAACAGCCCGGGCTTGATTAACATTAAACTTAGATACATTTGATTCTAATTTAGTTTTAAAACATTTTCCATTTGAAGTAACTTTGGAAAAGGTGAGTCTGTCATTGTTTGCTGAAGAGTCAGCAAACATTCTGCACTAACAAAGATTCCGATGGATTACAAATCAAGTTTAGAAAAAAAAAATTAAGTGGAACAATCAAATACACAATCAAATATTGAAAACATTCAATACAGTGGTTGGAATTAGGGTGCAAACTTTGTTCTGTCTATTCTGTGAAAAGTGACAACTTAACTTTGAATGTCAAAGGAGTGACTTTAGAGATGCTTGTAACTTTTAGACTTTCTTAGCAAATACAAAAAGCATGATGCAACAGCAGAACCCAGTTGTAAACTGACATAGAATACATTTTCCTGAGTTTTAGCCCTGAAAATTCTACCACTACCTGTCTGGTAAATTTACTTCTGAGACAAAAGTGATAGGAGCAAAAAGGGGGGGTGCAAAATAGAGCTCTTGAATGGCATCTACTAAACAGCTTACCCTTCTTGAAGAAGAACCTGCACAACCTCAAGGTGTCCATTTCTAGCACCGTACATGAGGGCTGTCCAGCCGTTCCCTGCGGACGCATTGAGCAGTGACGGGGAGCACCTGAGCAGTGCCTTCAGCCTGGCTGTGTCTCCAGCAGCAGCGAAGTCATGCAGCTGAGAAACCATGTCCTGGTGCAGGGGCTTCTCAAAGTCACTCATTGTGCCAACTAAGTTTAAAAAAAAGAAAATAAAAATGCCTGAGGGCATTTACCACTACGACTAACACGAATTAAAAAAAAAAACAAAAAACCCGAACTTAAATGCTGTACAGAAAATTAGTATTATCACCAAAAACACAGAACAACAAATTCTTGTGATTGGCGTGATATCGTTTTTCCAAATCAAATCTTTGTCCCACCCATCTCCAAACATAGTGACACTTCACCTTAGCAGTCAAAACCAGTTTCAAAAAGGCTTAAGGACCAGAAGATTTTACTGTGGAAATGTAAATTCTGAGTGTGAAAAAAACACGTCGTGGTTTCGTAACCAAACGCACACAGACACAGACAGACAGACAGACAGACACACACACACACACACACACACACACAATGCTGCCAGGACCGCTGCGCAACACAGCGATAACCTCAGGGCCCGCTCTACCCCCTTCCCCAGGGCCGCGACCCGGCCTCAGCAGCGGAACACCATTACCGTGCGCGGCTCCGAGGGTAGCCAGGCCTCTTGCGCGCTCCCGCGGAGCCCGGCCCCTGGCGCGCTCCCGCCCCGCCCCGGCGCGAGCCTCAGAGAGACGGAACGGGGCCGAGCGCGATTGCCCCGCCCCGCCATTCAGGGACGGCGCTGGGCTCCAGGCGCTGCGTGTTCCTGGAGGGAGTGCCCGGTCGTGGCCGGGTCGATGCACAGGGTTAGAGGGCAAACAGCCATTTTGTCCCCCGGGCAGGAATCTCGGTGGGTATAGGAAAGCGATCGGATTTCAGCATTGCTTCACCGCGCTAGCAGAAGGCAAGGGTCGGTGGCAACAGATTGCGGATTGTGAGGAAGGTGGAGCAACTGACGTGACCGGGGAGAAGAGTTAGCGGGGAATGAGAACGATGTCATGAGCCAGAAGTGTGTCCTGCCCAATATCAGGAAGATTCAACAAACACCAGAGGTTTATGTCCAGAAAGAGAAGTCCTTAAACCTTCTTTCCGAATAACGGGGGAGACTCCACTGGGCACACGCCCTCGGGATTTTCCCTCTTGAGGTTTCAGAGTGCGCAGGATCATTTTATCCCAGACTCTCGGCCGCATGTTGACCTCTTTCTTTCCCTATTGCTGAGGTACTACTTCTCGAACCACCTACCACACATCTCTCCTACAATCTCCTGTCATTTTACCCCAAAGTTCGGAAGTTCAGGCTTGTGCAGACCCTTGTCTCAGGAGCCAAGCAGTCTGGGGTCTGCAACAAACCTGCTGCCCAGAGTTTACAATAGAGGCATTAAGACCCAATTCGAAGATGCAAACACCCGTATTTTCACCCTTTCAAATTGTTTGTAAAGATATTATCTTTCTTCTCACTAAGAAAAACATTGGAAAATTGAGGCTATACTAGTCCTATGTAAATGAACATAGAACTGTTTCCTAGTGCCTTTGCACCTGGAGAGTGCTAGAAAACCAAACCCAAACAAAACCCAAAAAAACCCCACAAAAACAAACAAACAAACAAACAAACAAACAAAAGCGTAGCTTTTGAAAGGTCAAAATAAAAGTTTTGTACTGTGCGGGATAATCCTGCAAAACAGATTGCCACTATTCCAACGGCCTAAATTTGGAATGCAAAGGTTAAATCCAGTTCTTCCATCAGTATTACATTACCAGTTTCCCTACTTGGATTTGTATTAAACGTGAATAACTAACTCATACAAATATTTGTTTTAATGTTTTATTTGAGATATTCACCATTGTATTCAAATAATGAAATGATTTGTCATCAGCTTGTTTTTAAATGTGACTCCCAGAATCTCCATCAAGTTTCTGTTTTAGCAATACAGCTTTAGCTTGAGATGCCCACATATATAAAAATATGTATATACAGAGGTATATGTATATATCTAAATAACATATTACTCAAGGGCAGTGTCATTTTTGATTCAAGAGTATTGCAGAAGTTTAGTAATGTATGAACAGGAATAAATAATACATGGAAGCAGGTTTTATGTCTTGTTGATGGTAGGACACACTCTCCGTGTCCTGACATCATGTCAATAGTTCGCAAGGTCCACGATTTTAAGTACTTCTCCTGGAATTTGTGTCATCTTCCAGTGTATCCTTGCAAAGGCAACTTAGTACCCCTTGTTTAAAATACCAGAAACTGTAATAAAGTAAATGTGACTTTAAAATTGGAACATACCAACTTGTGAGTTTGAAAATATTTTGTTTCTACCAATGGATATAGTTACTTTGCTGGGTAAAAAGTTACAAAGTCTTGAGAATATGTAGATCTCCATTTAATAATCAGTGAGCTGAATTTTCTAAGAGCAATTTCCTGTATCTTGAGAATGGAAATAATGTAATGGTAGCTTGGTTAAAAGCTGTTTTTAGCTTTGGTGCAGTCAAGGGCAAAGTAAAATTCACTGAGAAGGTCAAAGTGGTGTTGGATTTAGCTATGCCATGGTTTTTGAATTTTGTTGAAAATAAAGCCTGTACTGGCCAGTATTCATTCAACTTGATTGAGTCTGTTAGCTCTTCAGTAGTGGGAAGCATGGTTGTAAAGGTGTATTTGCAAGGCTTCAGGAGTCTGAAGTTGTCGATGTGAGAATGGAAATAAATGCAGCATCACTAATTTACTCTGATCCTGAAAGAGGCTCTGGTGGCTCCAGATAGTGACTAATGATAGTCATTTCAAAATGCTTGTTGATTGCTGTGGACAGCAGCCAGGTAGTAACATCTGATTGCCCTGATACCCTATTCATTTGGTGCTGCAGCCTTTAGGAAAAAAAAATAAAATCCATGTTCTTTAAAAAATGTGCCATTTGGAGCACTGCGGTGATTGGGCAAGATAACTTGGAGTGCCTGAAAGTACTGACAAAACTGTGGTTCTGTCTGGTCTGAGCTACCTTCTAAATCTCCTTATTTGAATTAATAAACCATGTTGAGGTGGATGTCTGAAAAAGACTCCAAAACCTCTCATTTAGGTTAATAGAAATATTTAAAATAACGTAAAATTTCATTATTTTATATTATCTAGATTCTTTAGAGTGATAATATGGATTGTACCCATTTTAGTGTTGGGGCCAGGTTACACACAATAATTATCTATTTTTAATGCTTTTCAGTAAAACAGTAACAATATGACAGAAGATTTGTTAGTTCTTCATTTGGACTTGCACTTCATTCTTAACCTCTCAATTGCACCCATGATTCATGAAGGCTCTGTTTTGCAGAGTTGATGTGCTGGGTAAAGTTTACAAGAAGGTCTGATTTTTAAGTTGTTTGTTGGAAGTGAAACAAGTAAGACACTCAATGTGTGAAAGGAATTACGCTGTCAAACATTTTAGTTTATGTACATTGTAATTAGTGCATTATAACAGACTATGCTTTTCATACTTCTTAGTTTCAAAATAAAATTTTGGTGCATATGTGATTTGTCTTAAGGAGTCAAAGTTGTTATGAAGGAAGAAGAAATCAGTATTATCCAGCACTTCAGCATTCTGTAATAGTATCCTTTGGAGTTGTACAGAAGGACTTCGGGCCAATACAATTATTGTCTCTCCTAAGCACCTCCCTGATTAGTTTATAATTGGTCCTCCCTGGGAAACAATTGAGCAAATGCTAAAGGGCTTGATCCAAAGCATCCATTGGTCTAAACATGAGTTTCTTGGTATTGAAGAGATGGAATCCTTTTGGTGGGATTTTTTACTTTCTTGTAGGAAAGAGCTGTAACAAAGTATTGTTAGTATTTATTATTTAGTGTGAAAAACTAAGTTCACTCCTGTAAAATTTTAAAAAAAGGTTTAATAAAGACAATAAGAGTTACGGCCGGGTGCCTTGGCGCGCTGCCAAGAGCACACCTGGTATCTTGGGAACACTCTTTTTATCCCATCCTGCTGTGAGGGTTTAATGCATATTCAAAGCATGTCCCCTCCCTGGTTCCGCCTTCTTAGAACATGCTCTGTATGGTTTTTATTTCTGCTGGTCAGCATTTTTTTTGCTGGTCATCATTATTCTAGCTGGTCAGCATTATTTTGAGTTTGGTTTCCTTTCTTCTGCAAATGGTCAGTGTTGATAACAGTCTGGGCCCCTCGTCCTTCCTTTGAGGGCAGCTGGTCTTCATATCCTTCCCCCGCGGCCTACGGCCTGGTCCTGGCTGCTGATAACAGCTTGCTCTCCATTTCCTGCTGCTGATAACAGCCTGGTTTCCACTGTCCTTCTGCTGGAAACAGCTTGGTCCTCCCATTGTCCTGCCTGTTGGAGTTATCTTGCCTTGTCCAGATGAAACATATCCCTACTGTTCAGAATTCCTTTTTAAGCCTATAACTTGCTAAGAGAGAGAAGAATATAGCAAAAGCATATAACATTTATCATAATACTTGTGAAAAGCCAATATTTACAATATGAATTCACAACATTTAGTAACATTAGTAACAGTAACATTTAGTAACAGTAACATTTAGTAACAGTATTTATTATGAAAAAATCCATTTACATGTATCAGTTAATTTCAGTTAAAAACCCCAAAATACTGTTTTTAATACTAAGTCTGAGCCTCAGCAGTCTAGAGAATAGGGAGAATAGGAATTCTTTTAACTCAAAATGCTTTCAGTCAGTTGAACAAGAAGTTTATTTCAGCTGTGGAATGCACTGCAATGCATGCTGTGTCTGACAAGAAAAAAAGGCCAATCTGCCCAGAACATGATCCTGAAAAGTGAATGGTTTGTCATATGATGGTTATGAAACTACTTTTCCCCAAGCAACTGGTATGAAGGTGGTAGGTGATGAGTTTTGAAACTTAATAGATGTTCCTGAATTAAATTTGTGGGGACAGCATGCACAATATGGAAAGCTGGAAGGCAGAAGCACAAACAACTTACTTTTTCAGCAAGTGACTTTTCTAAGACCACTGCTATGAAAGGTCCCAGCTGTTTCCTCTGTGAGATTGAATGCCTGACCAGTCCCATTTTCTCCCCCTGCACCTTGCTTAACTTGCTTAATCTTGATTCACTGGGGAAAGATGAAGGCACTAAAAATGTTCAATGACCTAGCCCAAAGTCCAAAAGGGGAATGTTTATAGTGTAGCAATCTGCTGGAGTCTCCAGAACCTGAAAAACTGTGAAGGCTACAGAAAAAGAAGTAGTGTGTCTAGAGTGGGGATGAGGCAAGGTTATTATAGTATGAGTAAGATTATTATATGTGCTTTGTGACTGATGAAGATTTTCTAGTTCTTCTCCAAATTATTTTTGGGTTTTCAGTTTTTTCTGTATTCTAATTTGGTTCCATTTGTGTAGCACTTAACTGATCACTTGTGAATTTGGAAGCATAGACCCCTGAGTTCTAGACAGCTTAATTTAGTTTCTCAAATTTCTCAGGTGATGTTTGAGCTGGTATTTGAATTGTTTAATAAGGGTTAATTAATAAAAGCAATTTTAATAATCTTACAGTGTCTGGCTTGCAAGTACTTCCTCATGATCAATGAAGTCACATTTGCAGAAAACTTGAGTCAAAATAGCTGTTATTCTTCCTGTTCTGTAGACTTTCTGAGGCCACTAAAAATATCTGATAGCATTTTTTTCAAACTGAAATTATATACCTGCAAATTATTTGTTTTAATTATAATTATCTTCATGGAGCTTGTTTCAAGTTCAAATGATGACTTCCCTTCAGTTAAAGTGTACTTTAAAACCAGGAAACTAGTTTTGCTTGTTTTGGGGGAAAAAAAAAAAAAAAAAAAGACTTTCAATATATCCATGGGAAATAGTAGAACCAATACAGGGATAAAGATTTAGATCTTCAAAGTCGATTTCATAAAACTATTCCTTCTCTGGATTAAATCTTTATTTTGATCATATTAACCTTCTATTTCCTGCGCCCTGTGGTCCTGCTCAAGCCACCAGTGTTGAGCTTGCTCACTCACGCCAGTGCCACCCAGCATATGCTCTGGAAACAAGCACTATTCCGGCCTTTGACAGGAGAGGTCCCTCCTTGCTCTGTGCTGGGATCCCTGTCCTCACTCCAGTCCCTAAGGCCACAGGTCAGAGACACCCACATTCCCAGATTTACTCCAGTGGCTGGTACTACATTCCATTCACATGCAGGCACCTGCAGGTCCCCCCAGGTACCTGACACTGAGATCTTGCAGCATGCACATGCACAGGACAGTGCAAGCAATTATGTAGAGAGGAAGATAAGAGAATTTTTAATAAGGTGCAACAAGATGAGACAGACTGTGGCCATCAGGTGCAGGACTAAGTCAGATCAGTGGCACTACTTTATAGACAGCTGGACCCCTTTGTATCCTTTCTATCATTTCTCTGTTTCTCCTTGCTCTCCCTTCCCCAGCTTGTTCCTCCACAGCTCTCTTGATTCCCTCACTCCACATAGTTCAGGGCCCTGGATTTGCAGATGGACCAGAGTACCCCTGAGTTTGCAGACTGACTAGCTGAAAACTCCAGATGAGGTTTCTGTCAGGGTGGTGGCTGTAGTTGTATGATAGCTCAGCAGCTACTGTGACTGGCAAGGTTAGTTTACTATGACTGTTGATATGTTTGCTTAGTCAGGTGTATGTCAATATATTTTGCTTCCTGGCTTACCACTGTTCCTTTGGTTTAGCAGCCTACCAAGTTCCCAATCAAGATAACCTTGCTGGAATAAACATTCCTATGCCCTCACATGTCTCATCATCAATTTGTGTGTCTGACCAGACCTGGTTATCATCACCACCTTCCTATCATTTGGTGATCAGGTTTGTGTTCCTGTATTTTCCTGTGTATGGCTTCCTCCTTTTCTCATCTGCTTCACTGAAAAGATAGATGCTGACTAGATATCCTTAAAAGTACTGACACTCATTTCCATATACCCTTATGGTATACGGAACCATGGTGGAACATTTTGTATCTGCCAGCTTAAACTATTTGCCCATCTCCTGGATCTGCTTATGTCTGCAGTCTTGATTCCTATGACCAATTTCATGCTCATTACATTGCTTTCTCTGTCCCACTATTCATCATCTTGCACAACTTCCATAATTTTGTGCCACCCAATCACAATTATGTCTTCAATATATTAGTTACTCCAATTGCTACATCCAGGCTGCTGTCATTCAGTTGTCATTTCCTATCCTTCTACTTTTCTCAAGATAGTTTGGCATACTTTCAGGCTGGTGGTTGCTCAATTTTTAAAGTCAAAGATGTCTATGACTTCTTTGAGAGTGATTAAGAGCATCTCTCATGGTGTTAAAGACTGCAAGAGCTCTTCCTTAGATTTGCTTTCAGTAATTTGCAGAATACTTGGAGGTGGCATTCATAATTATTATCAATCAATGATCTTTTCTAGAAAGGGTTTTAAAAAATTATTTTTTTTTCCAAAATCATTGATTTCTATCATCTGCAGCATCCTATAGCAAGAAATTCCACTGCTTAATCAAGTTATTTGGAAGAAAACATGGGTTTTTTTGCTGGTACTGTTTTTGTTTTGAACCTGACATCTAGTATGCTCTTTTGATTCTTACTGTATTGGAATAGAATGAAGAGTCATTTTTCACCTATTTCATGTCACTCAAAGTACAACTCTTTCATATTATCCTGTCTTTTCTCTGAAAGAAACAGTTTAACCTAATTATTGCTATCACCATATGACTGCTCATTTTACTCTTTTCTTAACACATGTAATTTATATACCCATACTGTCTTAATGTTGCAGATTTCCTTGTTCTGTCAGTCCCTTTGCTATCTACACTTCCTTGTCAGTATAGGGGCAGTCATATAGCTAAGGGATTCTTTATAGTCAGCATAGAAGTAAGAAGAAAGAATTTCCATAAAAAGTGTGTGGTGAATTGACTTTGCCTGAATGCCAGATGGTCACCAGACTCACTCTGTCGCTCTCATCAGCTGGACAGAGGAGACAATATCCAATGAAAGGCTTCATGGGGTGAGATAAAGATAGGTACAGATCACTCGCTGGTTACTGTCATGGGTAAAACAGACTTGGGGAAATTAATTTCATCTATTACCAATCTAACTAGATGTCTCGGTTTTAGAAGACACGTGTCTGCTAGGGAGGGCAGGAACCTCTCTTAGAATGAAAGAATGTAGACCCTCTTCCTTTGAATTATTATAATTCTGAAATTAAGGGGCTTTCAGGTAAAGATCTGGGGATAGGAATAACAGTCCTTTACTAGTATAACCAGGCAAACAAACAACAATAACTACAGCATTAGCAAGAAAACAGAACCAGGGACCCTGTGACAGCTTTCTCGGCTGAGATGGGATGGAGGAGAGGCTTTGTTTCACAAACCTCTTCAGGCGGTCAGTCCCAGCACTCTTGCAGGGCTCTGAGGAACAGCCAGCTGGAACAGCAGGGATGAGCAGAGATCCTGGGCCGGTGGATGAGGTGTATCAGCAGCTCTGCGGCGGGGGCTGGCACTACCACACGTCCCGGCAGGACAGGGGGTGTGAGGCCACCAATGAAGAGGGAAGAAGGAGAAGAAGCAGCAGCTCCATCTGGGTGATGGCGAAATTCCCTTCTCTCCACCGCAACAGCTTCATGCCCAAAATATCTTTCTCTGAAGCTAAAGAAAGCCCCCTAAAACTGTCTCCACTCTCCTTTTTCCTGCCCCCTTCCACCCATGGGCCCGGCCAAACTCTTTGTCTTTTCTTAAGCAGTCACCAAGTACCCACAGTTAGGTTGTCTCCGCAACTAATGGGCAAAAATTCTACGGGCAAGCCAGAACTAAAAAAAAAAAAAAAAGACACTTAACCCCCAACACTAGAGTAGGATAATGAGAAGTAAACCCAAATCTTAAAAATAGTGGGATTCATGATGTGGTTCTTTTAGTCGGTCTTAGAGTACGAAAGATTATCAGCAAACCAAGGACTTAAACAACAAAACACACTTTATTGAGTGCTCATCAGCACTAATATGCGATAGAGAGAAAAGAGGAGAAAGCAAAGCATAAGGAAAAGAGACTAAGGGGATTATAGCTACCAATGTCGAAGTCCACTCAGCCGTCCAACGACGCAGAGTCTTCTGTCCGTTGGGGAGATCTCAAAGGAAGGTAAGTTTGGAGTATAATTTTATAGCCTTTTGCAAAGCAAGGGGCGCAGGGCCAAAACCAGAGGAGACTGATGATCATTGTGATGAATTCCATTGCGCGGGGAGCAGGTGTAGGGTACAGAGTGATCCATGTCTTGCAAGTCTTTGCTCACCAGCAGGAACGAGGGCAAGGTGTTGTGGAAAACCCATTGCACAGGGTACCACGCACAAACCTCTGCTCACCAGCAGGAATGAGAGCCATGAGTTGTGGAAAACCCGTTGTGCAGGTTACCAAGCCTCTGCTCACCAGCAGGAACGAGAGCAGTGTACCATGCAACCACCTACAAACAATCACTTAGCAAACATCCATCTCAGCTAGGCCCAAACCCCCAAACCAAGTCCCTTGTGATATTCAGGGTCTCAGTCTCTGTCCTTGAGACGGTTGTGAGACAGACGAGGGAATCTTCGGACCGTCTCTTACACCGCCCCGTGGCTCACAATTGTCGAGGTCTTTCTGCACGATGTTGTAGTGCTGCTGCAAAGTTCTTCAGGACTCGTTACAGTTGGTAGTATATCCCAGAAAAAACAGAGACAGGTAGTAGGGAAAAGATAAGGGACAGAAAAAGGAAAAAGAAAAAACAAAACAATAAGAAAATCAATATATTAATTTCAAAGAAAAACTATTCCATATATATTATTTTAACTAAGGCTCACATACTGGTTTCTTATCTTAAAACAAACAATAAATTATATTCTAAAATACAACATGATAAAATGATTAACCTCATAGTCACAATGACAAATTATTTATTGTAGTACCTGCATAATTCATCAAGTATCGATAACCTTAGGGGTATCAGCAACATGTAAAGTACCAATCAAATTGTGTGCATCCATTATGGAAGTCAATTGTGTCAACCTCTTCATCATTCTCCAATTCAGGATGTACAAGATTGCTGATAGAACAAAACGAAGTAAAACTAAAACCAAGAGGACAACGATGGGATGACACAATTTGTTCAAAACACCTGTAGCAGTTGGTGACCACCCAAAAACAGTGTCCCACCACTCGTGCTCAGCATCTTTCCTTACTCTTTCCAAAACACGATGTATTCCTTTCACATTGTGGTGAACTGTAACTAAGGTCTTTTGTCCATCCTTTTTGATCTTTTCCAAAATTTCGATTAAATCCTGGTGAAGCAACAATTGCCTTACCAGAGTAAAGTTCATTCCAATTGGAGCAGGCACTAAATGATGAATCAAAGTGTAATTATACTGCAAAAGATAATATGAAGTAATGAGCTAAATATGAAAAGTCACATCCAATAATCTCAGTAAAATTGCATACACAAAAATTTGAATGATTCTTAGTATCCACTACTATGTTTTCTACAAGCATACTATCACAAGCAGTTCTCAAGCATACACATCCATTGCCTACATACACAAGCACTGTTTCAGAAGTGTCATTAGGATGGATTTCAAAATGACAGATATTCTGTTCTGTGTCTAAACAAATGTCTTGAGTTTTGATTGCATTACTTTCACAGATAAACCCTTGTTGTTCCCGGACAATACAATTTTCTAAACCAACAGTTTGCCATTTCCCACCAATCTGA